GCTGGGCTAAAAGTTCTTTAAAGAGCTAATTCCTTTATTTCATCTGTTCCAGCAGCCTGTGTGGCTGTAGGAAGGGGCTGGATCTCCTAACGATCAATTCATGGAGTTTAAGAAGGACTTATTTGGCAAAATCCTTGCTTCCTGCCTTGGGACATTGGAAGCATGGGAAGTTCCCTATGGATTCACCTACTTTCTCTGAATGGCAAAAGGCAGGAAAAAGCAGGCACATCAAAAATAATCTCATAGAAATAAAAGCTTTTAAAGTTGCCAGATGAGACTAGGATTGATTGAGGAGAAATTATGGCCACCCTGAAATTACGAACCCCTAGTGGGCTTTAGATTGTAGCTGTCCCCAGCCCCTTACAGCCTTCAGGACCTAGAAAACCAGACTCCTAAAGGAAGCACATCGGCTTGATGTAGCCACAGATGCAGGCCAGGAAGATGGAGTATCTCGACGGGCAGGTCTCAGAGGGTTGACCTGAAGAAGAACCCCCTGAGAGGGGAGAGTGATAGGGAGGAGACGGTGAAGGACAGGGCACAGCTGAGTGATGTTGGTCCTACAGCTTGCATCCACTCACGCAACCATGTCGAGCATTCTGGTAAACTGACCAAATGCCTAACTGGTTAAGTTCTAGGGAAAGCTGTAAAGGCAACAATGGCATGTTTTGGGTACATTTGATCTCTGTGTTCTTAACTTTTTAAAAAGATTTTTTATTTGTTTTTAGAGAAAGGAGGAGGGAGGGAGAAAGAGAGGGAGAGAAATATCGATGTGCAAGAGAAACGTTGATTGATTGCCTCTCACACACCCTCAATGCAGGACCTGGCCTGCAGCCCAGGCATGTGTCCTGACTGGGAATCTAACTGACAGCCTTTCAATTTGCAGGACAATGCTCAACCCACTGAGCCACACCAGCCAAGGCTGTTCTGAACTTTTTGCCACCTCAGTGGTGTTGCCTCCTTATTCCTCTGTAGGAACTCAGGGCCACAGAATCACAGAAATTTGGAATTGGAAGAGAAAATCTATAGTGGTTAGCTAGTCTATGCCCACACAAAGCGAGCACCCCCAGCGGGCTTCCGGTTCCTGCTCCTGCACTGCCAGAGCAGGGAACTCAGGGTTGCACCAGACAGCCATTTCTTAGGCATCGTTCATGGTTAAAAAGCACCCTCTACACTAGTTCAGAGTCTGCCTGCTTATCACTCCCTCCTGGTGGGTCTTGTTCCATGTTTTGAAAGTAACTTTGAGTAAGTTGACTTATTCTTCCACGTGTTACCTCATACTGCAGACAGTCCCGGCCCCAGTCATTTCTCCTTTTCTCCAACCACAGGTGTCCAGCCTGCATCCCTTGGGCCGCATGCATCCCAGGATAGCTATGAACGTGGCCCAACACATAATTGTGAATTTAGTTAAAACATTATGAGATTTTTTTATGATTACATGTCGCAATGTATTTAATGTGTGGCCCAAGACCACTCTTCTTCTTCCAGTGTTGAACGGCAAAATGTTGGACACCCCTGCAAGCCACAGACAGCACCTTCATTATCATTCCTGATGGGACAAGGGGCCCCAGACCTTATTCATCCAGCTTGGCCTCATCTCAACATACCTTCCCCTGCTGAAGGCTCTCTTAAAATGTGCTACTCATTTTTTTCTTTGTATTCTCCCTCTTTTTTTCATTCAACCTATTCTCAGAAATTATTCCTCTAACCTAAGATGCAAATGACTAATCATGCTTACTGTGTTACCTTCCCAGAACTGTTTATATTTTAACAGGTTCAAAGCCTTCAACAGAAGGGAGTCTGGGAATGTTTGGGCAGCACATAATGGCAAGATAGAAGACAAGAGAAGGGTAGGCACAGAAGTTTCTAGGACCCTTAAAATCATGCTTGATACTTATTCTGAACAGAAGACAACCCAACCAGATAATTCACTCAAAATAGTAAAACTGGTGATGTTAACTCATGTGGCTCATGTAAATCTGTGGTGTGAGCCACCCCTCAGGGGAGACTTCTCACCTGGCCAGGAAAATCCTTATAAAATGAATTCCTTGAAGGCAAGAACTGGTCTGCTTCTTTCCCGGTTGGTTGTCCAGTCAGGGTCTGAGTAACACATTAATAGCTCCTCATACAATGCCTTCTGGATGAGTGAATGAATGAGGTCAGACCACAAGGCAGAGTTGCTAGGGGCTTGGCTCATGGGAGTGGGCAAGCCCTTGAGTTGCCGATACAGGGTCCCATTAATCATGGAACAAAGAGACTAGGCAGACGTCTGGGGCCACGGGTTATCCGAAGCTGTATCTGACTTACCAAGCAAGAGATTGACAACACTAAAAGAATAATATAAACACACACAGAGATTCAATTTTGGCTCCCATCCCAAAGATATTGTGGAATGAAAAGCATGATTTTTGAACTACAATATTCAACTTATCTGTTGAATTGAAGAAAAGACAGGTTACTGTTGGGATCTGAATCAGTGGTCTGGAGGATGGAACGGAAGAAATATCTCAAAGCAGAGCAATAATACAAGTGGAAAAAACTATGAGGGAGGTGAAGGACTTGGAGCAGAGATGAAGAGAACTGACATTAGCTATTCCAGAGCTTGGAAAAGGAAGAGGGGGAGGAAAAGCAATAATCAAACAAATGTTGGAACAAAAGCTGCTGAGCTGAAGAAAGACTTGGGTTTGTGGATGGAAAGGCAGTTTTGATGAGGAAAGACACACATGTAGGCTTAACCTTATAAAATCCCTGAACTCCAGAGATAAGGGGAAAATCTTACACCTTCTAGAAAGAGAGAACGGGTTGTTTACAAAAAGGAAAGGATGCGATTGACAGGAGATTTCTTATTTGCAACACTTGGAAACCGGAAAATGAAGGCACAAGAACTACAGACAACTCAGGGGAAAGGCTACAGTCCCAGGGCCCCACCCTCAGCTAGACTGTCATTCACTTACCAGGAGCAAGAAACTGTGGACAGGCAAACAGTCGGAGAACATGTCACCTGTACCCCGTCATATGTTATTTGAAGAAAATACTCAAGGAAGGGTCCTAAACAGGTAATTAGTGAGTGAGAACAAAGATCACAGACCAGGGGGAGGTGATGAATAGAGAAAACAGTGATGAAAAGTAACATGCCCAATCTAAAGAGGAAACTCCAAACGGACAATGATAGAACTGCTGGGAACGTGTAATACAGGGGTTAACTAATAATTCTTGTAAAAAAAAGAGGAAAATTGCAAAGGAAAGATTAAAAATGATAAAAATGATCTCAGCAAAATCTGGGGATGGGAAATACAAGAGAAGCAAGTGTTAGGGATGGGGGCCCTGGGGAGGAGAACAGTGACAGTAGTTTAAAGGTTTTTGTTCCTCAGGGTGAGGAAGGAGCATTAGACAAATGGGGTATCTTGTCAGGGTAAACTATTTGGCATCTTGTTTTTTAATATAATAATAGAGAAATATACTTCTGATTATGAGCATTGGGGAAGGGGCAGTAACCACTAATAGGCCAGATCTAGCTGGCTGCCTGTTTAATCAAGTCTTTTTGGGAACTCAACCACATTCATTCATTTAGATACCATCCAAGGCTATTTTTTTTTTTTTTGCTAATGGAATGGAATGAAATAGGAGACCCTCCAAATCAACAAAGGAAAGAAGAAAAAAAAAAGAATAGTAATTAACCTACTAAAATGAGAAAAATGAGAACAGTAAGGAAAACCAAAAAATAAATAGTAATATTCTCCAGGTCCATCCATGCTGCAGCAAAAGGTAAGAGTTCCTTCTTTTTCACTGCTGTGTATTCTCCATTGTGTAAATGGACCACAGCTTCTTTATCCACTCACCTGGTGATGGGCACTTAGGCCTGGAGAATATTATGCTAAGTGAAATAAGCCACTCAGTAAAGACAAATACCACATGATCTTACTGATATGTGGAATTTAATGAACAAAATTAACTAATGAACTAAATGGAAACAGAAACATAGATACATGGAACAGTCTGACAGCTGTTGGAGGGGAGTGGGGGGACTGGATGAAAGACGGTGAAGGGATTAGCCAAAGAACAAGGATGCATGGCCTATGGCCATGGACAAAGATAGAGGGATTGACTGAGAGAGGGGAGGGGGTGGGGCTGACGGGAGGTGGGCAAAGGAGAAGAAGCAGGGACAACTGTAATAGCATAAACAATAAAAAATAAATTAAAAAGCAATAAAAATAAAGTGGAAGAAATAAAACAAGCATATTCATTGCTACACTAAATATGAAAAGGTTAAATTGTTCTATTAAATTACAGAAACACCAAGATTAGGTTAAATAAAAAACACTGCCGAATGTTACTTTTAAGAAACACAGTTAAGAGAAAATGATCACGTGAAAAGGAAATGATAATGATTAAAACAAAAGGATAAGAAAATGTCAGAAAAAAGCAGGTGTGGCAACATTAGAGATGGACAAGCTGAAATGAGGCTAAAAGCACTAATGAGGATAAAACTGGGCAGTTGTAACAGCAACAAGTAAAATCTCAGAATCAATAGTAGCCAATAGGCAACAAATGTTATAGCTGCTACATATGTGAGACAAAGGTTTTAGAAATACAAAAGAGTTTAATAAAACTATACAGTTACAGTCCTACCTCAGGACTCGTTGGCTTCAGAACTCGTCAAAGCCTGTACTTGTTGCATTTTGATGAGAAAAAATGTTCCAGTACTCGGTGCTTACTTGGGACTCGCTGCACTTGCTAGAACTCGTTTTAGTCCTGATGCTGCCCCACACTTGTTCCTTGCTTGGTACTGGTTGGTTTCTGCACTCATCACGAGTTCCAGAATGAATGAACAATGAGCATTGAGGTACCGCTGTATAGTGGATTATTAATGAATCCTTTTCAAAATTAAGATCCCATAGACAAATAAATAAGTACATAGAAAGAATTAAATGATGCAATTAATAAATCAATTTAATATGTCTTTCTTTCAAATAAAAATTTGCATTTTATATGTCCAAAATGAATCAAGTAATTGGTTACAAAGAAAAATTCATAAAATTTTCAAGTAGAGATTTTATAGGCCATATTCTCTCCTTATAATCCAATAAAACTAGATACTTTAGAAGTCTAAAAATGTCAAAAGATCCTAAGTACTGGAAATTAAGAAACACATTCTTAAATAATCCTTGGATCAAAGAGAAACCAAAACAAAATTACAAACTATTTAAAAACTGATAAAAGTAGAGTATCTTATTCCAAAACCTATAGTACACAGCTAAAGATGTACTCAGGGGAAAATTAATAGCCTTAAATGTTATTGTCACTAAAAAAAGATCTAAATAGAAGAAATTTTACATCAATTTTATAAACATTTGGAAAAAAAGAACATTTAAATAAACCATGAGAAAACAGGAAAAAATCAACAAAATAGAAAAAACAAACCACAACAAGTAGAAATGACAAATTAATTCCAAACTGCTTCTTTCACAAAGCCAATAAAATGGACGAATCTCTCACAATCCTGGTTAAGGAGAAGAGAGAGCAGAATTACATCAGATTAGAAAGTGGAAAGGAGACAGAGCCACAGTTAAAGGAGAGACTGAACTGTTGTCAGAACATTATGAGTAACTCTACAGCATCACATTTTTACAACTAAAGAAAACGGATTATTTTCCAGGAAATAAGCTCTCGAGTTTGACCAAGAAGTAGGAAACTTGACTTTGTCCATGATCAGAGAAGCCATTAGAAAGATGATTTGAGAGCGGTGATTTAAAAATGCAGCAGGGCAGCACTGTCCCCCCCCCGACAGAGCTCTTCAGAGTAGGAGAGGGGATTAACGTGGGAGGGGAGAGGGGGAGGTGAGAAGGAGCAGAGACGAGAGGATTTGGGGAGGGGACAGTAGAAAGGTGTTCCACGACAGAAAAAGAGTTTAAGACGGGGTTTCCTCTAAAGCCCTCTCCTCCCCAGTCCCACCTTTAGATTCCTTCTTTCTCTAATGACTGCTCATTAACGTTCAGCCACAAATACATATGTTCAGTCACTGCTGGCAGTTTGGGGTGGCAGTGGAAACTGTCTGGTGGCCTGCTCCCAGGTGATCTCATGGTGGTGGTGTGAATCCGTAAGTTTAGGACTCTTGCCTCTACTCAGTTGGCAGGGGGCGGGGTGGGTGGGCAGTGAGACCGGGAAGTGCTGGTGAAGGTGGGACAAGGTCACTGCAGGGAGCTTTCCTGTCCCATGAGACCATGTGGGCCACTTCAGAGGACATCTGGGCATCTGCCCAGGGACTGTGGGCAGGGTGACCTGCACTGGGCAGACTTCTTAGAAGGGTGGGGATTTTCATTTGTGCCCCGTCCTCATCCATGACCAGGACAGAGAGAGACAGCCTCTGCCCACTGGCCTGGCTTCATGAGATTTGTTCTGTCTCCAGGAAGAACTTGTTTAAGTACATTTGGGAAATACCATCAATTTTCTGCATCTTACCCCCAAAAGTGTTTTTAAAAAACATTTCATCACTCTTTGGTTGACTTCTCAGCAAACACATTCAGTGATTAACACTACTTCATCCGGGCATTTCTTTCTTACATCAGCCTAGTAGGTAATTTGTTTCTCTACAAATACATAAATATCTGGCCATCTTGATCCTAGTGTATATAGAATTTCTGGGGCCCGTGGTTTTTCCAGACTTGCTGGGCATATTTTTTTCCTTTTTCTGACTAACTTAGCTTTTATCCATTTGTCTTCAAATGCATTTGGTAGCTTGTAATACAGTTTTAACTTTTCATTCCTAGGGGGGTTAAAGTGAAGGGGAAGAGACATTGATGTCCAAGTGAGATGAAACAATTTTCACATCCAACTAGTTTCCCTCTCCTGGTAATCCAATAAAAGACAATTCCCATCCAATTCAATTCTTGGATGGAGCTTCTCAAGGGCTTTATGGAAAGGAGAGATGGTCTTGGGTTATCTTTGGTTTGGATATCTCTTGTTAGAATACCTTAGGGGGGGTTGGCTTTAGGTCAAGTGGTTACTTCGTCATGGCAGATATTAGACTACCTTAGGGGTTTCCCTTCCATTTTGTGTAACTGAGCCCTGGTTGGAAGCCTGGGAGGGAGCTGAAGCCCTCCTGTTCCTGTAGAGGCAGCATGAGTCACAGGACGGGGTGGGGGGCCACCTGGCCTGCACACTCCCTTCCGACCCCAAGATTCTATGAGCCTCCCTGCTCTTCCTGCTGGAAACTCCTGGGTTTCTGAAGGGTCATGGTTTTTACTTCCCCCACAGTGGTGAGCCTACTGGCAGAGGGGGAAACAGAGGGAGGAGGTGGAGGATGGCGAGTCTTAGACATGGTTCCCAGACATTCGTGTGGAAGGGGGTATAGTTTAAAACTAGTGCACATCACCGGGTCTGTCAGTTCTCTGAGAGTCTCATGGCACATCTTCCTGAGTCCAGTCATACTAATCTCATTTTCTTGTGTCGCCCTGTTTCCCAAGAATCTTCATACTGTCACCCAGCAGGTAAATGGCTTTGTGGCTATGTCTGTTATACACAGAACCTGGCATATCCTTTGGGCCTGCTGACAGCCCATCAACTCCTAACCATCATTATGTTGATCACCTGTATCACACATGGGCCAAGTACTGCTTATAGGCCAGATCTAGCTGGCTGCCTGTTTCATCAAGTCTTTTTTGGAACTCAACCACATTCATTCATTTAAATACCATCCAAGGCTATTTTTTTTTTTTTGCTACAGTGACAGAATTGGGTATTTTCGAAAGAGACTGTATGTCTTCCAGAGCCAAAAATATTTACTATATGACCCTTTCCAGAAAAAATTTGTTAACTCCTTAGCTATATGTAACTAAAGAATGAATGCAAACTAATGACTACATGGATTGGGAAGCCAAATTGCAAAATTCGTGGATAATTGTTTGTTCTTCTAGAGTCAAGGGTAACTAGTTAAATATCAAACATTTCATGGAACCTCCCAATACCCACAAGCAAGTAAGAAAATGGAATAAACTTCCCTAGCTCTTCACCAATGAGCTCAAGCATTTCCTCAACTGAAATTTCTACCCATAGTTGCTGGTTTGAGCTGCACTGAGGAATGCTTATCCTTCATAATAAAAGTCACATATAGGATTCTAATTAATTCCTTCCTGCTGTGGAATATAATCTTGCTCATTACTCTGACCACTAACTGCTCAAGACTCCCTGTCTAGACACTTTGAGTGCCCTAGTTGCCCCTGTTTTGACTTTAAAACTTTATCAGTGTGAAATTCCTCTTTCATGTAAAGCTGTATGTGTCCCAGCCACTAGCTCTGTGCACTGTGGTGCCTTCAGTTCTTTGCACATGTCCCCTGAATTTTCACCCTGAATTCTGTGTGTCTGCCTAGGAACATTCAGCAAATTCAGTTTTGAAGCCTCTATTATTTAGTTAAGCATGCCAACAAGATTATCTCTTAATTACTTCCCCAAAATACTAAATACAAATAACATTCTTGTTTTAAGTCTATGACATTTAAAACACCACGCCTTGCTTCTGACTCCAGGAAGCTCATGACCAACTTCCTCTAATGTCATGTGATGGATAGTTAAGGCGATTTGGACAGAGAGTGAAAGCCAGTATCGGGAAAGAGAGCTTTAGGTGAGTTTGCTTCCACACAGGTGCAAGGAAGGGCAAAGAAGGAGGGAGCTGCAGCTGATTGAGGCCACAGAGAACCGACACAAGGTCCAGGCAAAGAACATTTCTGCCTGGAGCTTGACTAGTCACCGCTGGGGGCCTTCTCTTCTTCACTGCTTCTCACTGTCAGGTAATACATGCGGTTGGCCTCCGGGTAGGTGACTTTGCTGAGGGGCAGCTTGTAGATGGCGGGGTTGTTGGTTGTCAGGAGCAGGAAGATGAGGGTGGAGAGGCAGAAGGCCCAGGTGCCCGGTGGCACGCCAACCTGGAAACAAAAGCCCTGGGGTCTGAAAATGTTCCTAGGTTCCCGGGACCCTCGGGGAGCAGGATGTGGCAGGGGTTGAGGATGGGGACCCTCCCCCAGAGACAGCATTGGTTTCTGGGGTCATAAGGAGGGATGAGTTAGTCTAGAAATTTGCAGTGTCATCGTTGGACACAACTGTAATCTTTTAATGATGGAGCTGGAAATTGGCCTGGGAATGGATGACCTCCAATATCTAGCTAAATACAAGTACTTCTATCTCTTCATCCTTGTTCTCCACTGCTGATTGTAGTATGTGCACACACACGGCACGCACACACCAGAGGCACATGTAACTAATTGCCAGTCCTTCTCTGGACAAACACTGGATAAATCTTGACAAAGGCATTGTGCAGAGTATCAGCTACAATAAGCCCCTCAGGATTCTTCCACAAGACTGCAAATACCCTGAAGCCCTGGTGAGGGAAGGGTACGGTGCTCAGAAGAGTCCAAACTTACCACTGCCATTATGTTGGACAGGGCTGCTCCCATGTATGCGCAGAACAGGGCTGCGGAGGAGTAAGGATCACTGAGTCAGGTACCCGGGGCGCGCCCCCCCCCCCCCAACCCTCTCCAAGAGCAGAGATCCCAGTCTGTCTCTAGCAGCCTGAGGATCCACACCACATCTTGACATTGGGACATTACTAGTTATCTTTGCAGGTAGGTGTGGCCCATCTCCCACCGGAATGTGCATTCTCAGAGAGTAAAGCTTAGAGTAAAGGAAGAGAATAAAGCTTACATATCCTTTTGTCCCTTCCCACTTCCCTGGTGGCCTTGCATAGAGTCAGGGGTCATTAAGCGTCTTTTGCTTGTCCACACTGACCTTGGGGATGGTCTAGCACAGGCTGGATGACTGGATGATTACCTATCTGGGGGGTGATGGTCAGATTGCATGAGATCCAGATACGGCCCCTCCTGCCTAAAATTCTGGGTGACCATGATGCTATTGGACCCTCACCAAGTCCCATCAGAGCTGGATCTTATTGGGTCTCTGATCTCATTCCTAGGAGCCAGACATCTGGGTTCAACCACGGGATATGGGCATCCAGGTCAGACAGGGGAGCTCTGCCACACCCCTGGTGTGTCTGGACAAGCGCCCCTGCCCCTGCCCCTTTGCTTTCTGTTTCTCTGTCCAGAACACCTTCTCCCTGTCTTTGCCCATACAAATCCCACCCTGAAGGTGTTACAATCAACCTCAGCCTCCCTTGGAAGCCTTCCCAGGTGGCTCCAGCAACAGGAAGCCGCCTCTTCTCTGAAGGCCAAAGGCAGTTATAGTCTGAACCTCAAAATATCTGGCACTTTGATTTAACAAACATTTACTGAGCCCACTGTCTCCATGTCTACCCTTGTGCTGGCTGCTGAGGGGTGTACATGGAAGTCACTTAGGGCACGGCGTTGGGTGCAGATTGTGGCTGATTTCTCTTCAGACACAGCATTCTCCCTTTACTCTGTGGAGTTCGAGCTTCCAGAGAGCTATGTGCTATTTTTCTTAGATCTCAGTGCTCTCACGTACACCATCTCACTAGATCTTTCCAACGGTCTTTTTAGACATCACAACCTCAATCGTGCAGACCTGAGGATGTGGTCGCCATGTGTCTGCCACGCCTCGCCTAGGGCCCGGCACTTACTGGTGCCCTACAAATCAATGGGGAATGAAGAGTTATCGAGAGCAGGGATGCTGCCCCTAGCACACGAGGAAATGCATGTGTGGTTTCCTCATCAGCATTTCAACACTGTGTGACTATAACAGCAGTAATAGTGGGTGTGACTCCAGCTGACGGAGGAGGAACTTCAAGTCCCCCAGCTGTGAAAGACCCCGGCCAACAGTCCTCCTGTCACTGCTGCTCAGTTCTGACTAGCGGTCACCAGGGGTTTCACATCACCACGGGTGTGAGGGCGGGGAGGGAGACATAGCAGAGTGACTTGGTTGTCAGCTTTCCCAAATACCCACTGCAGACGAGGGCCAGCACGTGGGTCTGCCAGGTGAGGGCGTAGAACATGCCTCCGATGGCGATGCAGGACAGGACGCAGTTGTAGCTCCAGAGGCCCATGTAGATCACCTCGAAGGGCGTGGCCACTGTCAGGGCTGTGGGACAAGGTGTGGTGTTTCTGGCTGGTTCTGTGTCACAGCACCAAGGGCCACCTTGTGGCTGGTGCTGGGACTCAGGGTCGCCTCTTTCCAGCCATTCCCCTCACACCCCCACCCTCACCCATCAAAGGAGCCTCTACGAATAGGATCTCGTCTTTGGAAACCAACAATGGGAAGAGAGCAGTGGTTTCCAAACTGTTTTTCCAAGATTACACAAAGATGTATGACTACTTCCGGGGTGAGGGCAGGCCAAGGTCATGGGACTTCAGGCCCTCTCTTTGGCCAGAGCAGCTGCATTTTCAACAAGAAAGATTTCAGTTGAAAACGTTCTGCTTCAAATGGTTGACAAAATGTGAATGTGCACGCAAAGATGCATGGAGACAGAGAAATGATACAGCCAAATGGGTGGGGTGTGGACAATAGGTGAGTCTGGGTAAAGAATTATGGGGACCTCTTGTGCTGCTTTTAGTTTTGGTAAGTTTGAAATTTTTTCCAGGTTACTTTTATTTAAAGTTCTTCTGAGACATTTTTGAAAAATATTGGAATAAGTCAACAGGTTCCTATTCCTAATGCCCCCAACTCTAATCTCTGACTCTTATCCACATACACATATATGAATGTGTGAACATACATATCCATGTATGTAGAAATGTGAAGTCACGTTTGTCAAGTGGCAATACAATATTTGAGAAAATCTTTTCTTTTAGCTTACTTGAAATTTTGGTATCAGCTCACGTATGCCCCTGCCTGGTCAGCTTCTGCTCCCACCCCCTTCCCCCACCCCCCACTCCCTTCTGCCACCCCCCATACCCTTCTCCCACCCCCCACTCCCTTCCCCCACCCCCCACTCCCTTCCCCCCACCCCCCCCACTCCCTTCCCCCACCCCCCACTCCCTTCCCCCCACCCCTCACTCCCTTCCCCCACCCCCCCACTCCCTTCCCCCCACCCCTCACTCCCTTCCCCCACCCCCCACTCCCTTCCCCCACCCCTCACTCCCTTCCCCCACCCCTCACTCCCTTCCCCCACCCCCCACTCCCTTCTCCCACCCCTCAGCAAGTAGGGCCTCAGTCTGCAGGCCAACTGGTCTCAATCCCCTTGCCTCTCCCCACATGTCTTGCTACTCAATCTGCTCTCTTTGGAGAGTCAAGAAAAGGAAAAGTCAGTCCCTACCTGATAGTGTTTAAAAACTCCAGTGAAGATGGTAAGTCCAGAACATTTGTTGTGTGTGTGTGTGGGAGAATGACCTTGGGAATACGATCCCTGCAGAGAGCCGCCCTGCCCTACCTGCTAGCATCCCCAGGATTGAGCCAATGGCCGCATGCAAACAGATGAGTGGTGAGCAGATGAACAGAGCCACCAGGAACACGCCGCCCGTCCAGGGATTGTCGCAGCCATACACCTGGCCGACCCCAACGGGAATGGCTTGTAGCAGCTGCAAAGTAAACAGAGTCCAGGTCAGTGGAGTGTGGGCTGATAAGGCATAGACCAGGCCTTGGGGCCAGGACTGAGCCATTCCTGGGGTGGTAAGCAGGTAATGGGGTGGAACAGGAGTATGGCTGTGCCCTCCAGCAGGTGAGAGAAGATGGGAGGGCACGAGCTGGAACAAACAGCTCCTCACTCCAGCACCTGGCAGGCATCTGAGCACCCCTCATGCAAAACCAAGCAGGGCTCCCCAACACAGGGGCCGGGCTGAGGGTTTCTGAGGGACACATGGCTTCTGCTTTGGGGGGATCAGGGGACACTTTCTCTCTAGACTGCCATTGAGGATTTCAGGGTACTACAAAATTTCTCTAGGTTTTCTGAAATCCTAGAAATATTTCAGGAATACTGAAAATATTCTAGGCCATTGTGGGGGATGATCAGACCAAAGGTCACTCAGCACATTGGTGGTCAAGCCCAGGTTACAGCCTCTGAGCTTGACCCCTAGTCTGTTGGCTGCTGCACATCCAGTGCTGCCCTGGGGACTATGAGGCCCTGGGAAGCAGGCAGGGGCCCTTCCCTGCTGAGGAAGAGCACTCGGCACTGAAGAGTGGTAATGTGAAGACTGTCTGGAGGACGGCACGCAGTCCAGCCCTCCCTGAGCCCAAGCGTCATGTGGTCACTTTGGAATTAAAGATGATTAATTGGCAGTGAGGTCAGATGGGCTTTTTCTGCTCAAGCTGCATCACCCACATTTCGGCCGGCCTTTGAGGGCAAGAAGGAAGGGAGGGAGATTGGCAGGGAGGGGAGAGAACTGGGCTGGGGGGTCGAGGGCCCCAGCTCTCAGGGGGGCTCTGCACAAGGTCACGGGTGACTGTGGGCATGTCACCTCCTGGTTCTGGGCTGTGGTGCCCTCCTGTGTAACAGGGAGGCTGCCCTAGCAGGTGATCTTCCAGCTTTAAAGTGCTTTTCTCCATTATCAGGGCATGTGCCTTTTTTTGAGGACAGGGCTCCCTTAATAACTATTATTGATTAGCTCAGTGCTTTCTAAACTTTGTGTACATTGGAATTACCTACAGATCTTTAAGAACATATTGATGTCTGGCTCCTCTCCAGACGGATGCAACTGCTACGGAGCATGACTACACCTCAGGGGTTTCTAACCTGCATCAGAGTGTGGGGACCCATGGGCTTGTTATTGATAACCTAATGTAGATGTTGGAATTAATCGTTTTTCTCCCATTGGTGAAATTTCATAGTTTTTAACCACTTGACTGAATTCTGAAGTTAGTCTGATTTCTTTGGTCAAGGAGTCTCAGAGAGCTCTTGAGCTTTGTCCCCCCTCGTCTCTGAGTAGCGGGCCTTGTAATAACCAAGCACTGTTTAGGGCAGACCCTGCGGGCTGGTGTAAGGAGTGACAGGGCAGGGCCCCTGTGTTACTGAAAAGAACCCTGGAAACACTGTACCAGTCCAGCAAACTCAGCTGAAGGTGGGGGGAACAGGCTGGAAATGTACTCAATAAATATTCCGCGATTCCCTGAAGTCTGAGGAATGCAGGACGTGAGGGAACCCAGCTCCCACCTGCCCACCCGGGAACGCGGGTTTTCAGCCCAAGCAGCCAGGAATGAGAGGAATGAGGGAATACGCTGCCTTGGAGGGGAGCCTGCGTTTGGAATGAAATTTCCTCCCCCGGCACCCATATTTTAGCCGGGTGAACTGTGGTCCCGGGGAGGCCTGCCCCCTCCACGAGGCTCTGCAGGCCGCAGTGGACACCCTGGCGTGAGGAGCGGTCAGGTGTGTGGTGGAAATTTACTGAGCACCGGCCTCCTGCTTCTGAATAATCCCCCTGTCACAACAGTCCTGTTCAACCAAAAGGAAGTCACTCCCTTCATTGTTTGCAAGAGAAAGAGGAAAATGGCTCTGATTCTTCAAACCCTGCTCTGGATGGTGAGGAAGAGCAGAGCCCCTTGTCGGAGAGCTGGTGCGTTGGGGAGCTCGGGGAGTGAGCTTGGGGTTCAGGGTATGTGGCTTTGGGGCGCACCACTTTCCCAAGGTCTATTTTGAAGAGGCACGAGAGGCATCTCTTCCCTGTGCCCTTTCCACTCCGGCCCCCTCAGCACTGGACTGTATAGCTAGCTACACAGTGCAGGATGGGTGGGGTCCTTCTTTCTGGCAACAGCACCTGTCACTGCAGCTGCCACTTGGGCTGTGCCTCATGGGTATAGCTTAGGGACAGCGGGTCTGTGCCCCAAAGACGGGTGCCTGATTGCCAGATGGCTGATCACTGACGATCCTATCAAAGTTCGTGTTGCCCCTGTCTCGGCCCCAGCTGTTTTCCATTGAAGAGGGTGGGCTTTCCCGTAAACGCAGGCTTCTGGGTTTTCTCTTTTCTTGGATTCAGGCCCTAGCCCTGCCTCTGATCCTACTGTAGCCCCCGCCCTAGACAAAACTGCAAAAAGATGAACACTTTAAAAATGGTGGGTCACAGCATTTGCCACTAAGGGTAAGGGGGCCTTTTCTCTTCCGATAGGGCTCTGTTCACAGTGTGCCGGTCCCTGGGGGACAGGCACTGACCACCCCCCCCCCTGCCCCCGCCGAGTGGTGGCCCAGAGTGTAAGACACAGTGGGGGTGGGGGCCACACGGAGGTTTAAGTACATCTAGACAACAGGCATGGCTGGGGGTGGAGAGGGCTCAGAAATCAGGTCACACAAACAATATATGAGGACATGTCATGTTTTCAAATATTCAAAAAGTGGTCATGGAAACAATATTGTACATTACTCTAAGGAGAGCCAGACCTGATACGTGGAAAATGAAGGGAGGTATCTGAGGAATGGGAAGAACCTTCCAAGACTGAAAGGCACACAGTCTTGGGGTGCTACGTGGAGAGCAGAGGGGCTCACCTCACTGTGATGCCCCCAGCTGAGCGTGCAGGGCCTGCCGTGCACGAAGGGGGCGGTCATTCAAAGTTTGGGCTCTGTCTGCGTCAGGCTGCCTGCGTTTGAACCTCAGGCACTAGCTGCAGCCTGACCTTGGGCAAGTAACCCTCGCTGTGCCTTAGTTTTCTCATCTGTGAAATGGGGATGATGATAGTACATCTATCATGGGGTTTTTATGAGGGTTAAATGAGTTATTAAGTTGAGGGCTTAGAACAATGTTGAATGCATAATAAGCTTGCCTTAGCATTAGCTGTTAGCTCTCTTGAGGTTTTTTAACAGGGCTAAACTGTTATAATTCTCTCTATATTATCTTACATTAGGTTTCTATTACATCCCTTCATCCATGATGTCCAGCAGTCGGTAGAATATGTGAATATGTGCATCTGTGACAGTAGGATACAAAACACGGCTCTTCAGCTTCGGCGTTAGGGACACTCGGGACTGGACAATCTCTCTGTCATGGGGAGGGGGTTGCCCTGCGCACTGCACGGCAGGGTGTTTAGCAGCATCCCTGGCCTCTGCTCACTGGATGCCAGTCACACCCCCACGTGCCGAGTCCTGACAATTAAAAAACGCCTGCGGACATCGCCCACTGTCCCCAGGAGGGCACAATCACCCCTGCTTCAGAAACAATGACATGGAAAGCACATGAAAATTCACCTTCCAATTCTATTGATAATATCTTTTAAATCCTAACTTTAAACCTTTTATTTTTAGTGTTTTGCCCTTCCACCCGACTATCCACCTTATGTAATATTTTCCCCTCGATCCCACCATCCTGTATGGTCAACTGAACGCACATGGACTCTCGTTTATTATCTGGTTTTCTGTGTGGAGTGTAAGCTTCACTAAGGCAGGGATGTGGCTGTCCCCATGTATTCCAGTGTCTGTCTGATAAAGTGCCTGGCACAGAGTTGGTCTTCAAGAAAGGCTTGTGGAAAGAGCATGTGAGGGTGGCAGCGACCTTTCCCTGGCCTCTTCCCCACCAGACCCGCCACCCGGGGGAGGGGCGTCTGGAGAGGCCGAGAGCCTGGGTGTGCACACAGCCGTCAGCGAGAAGGCCCGTGGAGGGAGCAGCCCCTCTGCCGCCGGGCGACTTACCAAGGGCACTTTGATCTCTGTCCAGGTGATGTTGGGCACTGCGGACACAGGCTCTATCAGTGTCGTGGGGAAGAAGAGGTTGTAGTGGCCTGTGGCCGCCAGGTACAGGGTCACTGCGATGTTGAAGGGCAGTGTGAACACGGGGAGGTCCCACTTGCTGAAGACGGAATTCAAGGCGCTGGAAAGAACTGGGCTGAAGGTGGAAGAAACAAAGGGTTCATCACTGTGATCATCCTTAGGTCTACACCATCCCTTCTGCGCTGGCCACTGCGCTATCTACTATCCCCTCCTCTTGGCACGGTCATTCCTGGCCCCCTTGGTCCATTGATCTGCGATTGGGAATAGGGTGTTCGATTTAGGGCTGTACCTTTTAGAAACAGAATGTAAAAATAATATAACTTGTCTTGAATAGAAAACTTAAAAAATAATTTAAATATTTCCTTGTAAGTTAAACCAAGAAAGCTGAACAAAATGTAATTGTTACAAAACATCGTATATTACCTTTGGATCATCAAGCTGTGCCACAGCTACTGGGCTGGGCTGTGATAATGTTTTGGGAGTCTGGCCTCCTAGGAGGAAGGGCCAGGGCACAGAGGCCACACATGGGACTGGACTCAGTTCAAGTACTGGAGCTACTCTGGGAGCCACCATGTGAACCCAAAACCTTGAGGTGTTTGTGTCTGCTCTCTTCTTGGCTTCTTCCCCGGGGAGAGCACAGGCTTTGGAGAAGGAGGGAGCTGGGTGCGAGTTCTAACTACAAGGCTGAGTGACTAGGTAATTACTCTTCCTCACCTTTAGTTTCCTGTGGAGGGCCCAGGCACCCTCAACACCTCACACCCTACTTCCCCCATACTCGGGGAGCTCAGGACAAAATGTGAAATCGTACAGGATCTCACGTGATCTGGCAGATTGGTCTACTTTTAATTAATGACTATGCATTATAAATGGGCATTTGAGGCTGTCTGAAAACCTTCCTAGCAAATTAACTCCCCAACTGCTGAGACAACTATCTCACATTTCTCCCTTTCTCCTCAGATCTTCACATCTGCTTCCCTTGAGTTTCAGCTGACTACCTTGCTTTACTTCATTAAGAAAATAGAAATGGTAAGAGGAGAAATGCTTCATTTCCCCAACCCTAAGATCCACACTCCAACCGCCTTGTGTCCACACACTCTCCTCTCTGCCCTTTTCACACAATGGAAGTGCTCCTGCTCCTTTATCGGGCTAATTCTTTCCCCTGAGCCTTGGGGCCCAACCTGCCTCAAAGATTTCCATCCTGCGGTTCTCTCCTGTCTCTCTCCTTTTTCTCTGAGTCATTCTCATAAATATACAGACATATTCTCGTATCTTCTACCTTTACAAATCCTCCCTGTTTAATCTGATGTCTGCTTAGTTACTGCCCCATTTGTCTGCTTCCTCAAAGTTCTGTCTAAATTCGCACCCCCGACAGTCCTACTCCCATCCTTTCCTGAACCCACCCTAGAATCAGAGTTCTCCCCATGCTGTGCAGATGATTCCCATCCAGTTCACCAGTGACATCTGCCTTGCCAATCCATGGTCATTCCCTGCCCCCTCATTGGACTGTTGGACCGTCTGACTGGATTGAAAGTCTTTCTGTCTGGGTTGCCATGACACTGGTCATCCTGTTTTCTTCCGGTTTCTCCAGCTGCTCCTTCTTGACTCTCCATCAGTGGTTCCTCCCCTCTCCTGCCAATTTCTAAATATGAGGGGATCCTATGACTCTTTCTCAGGTTTTTCCTTTCTCTTTCTTTTCAAATCTCCTCTTTCTGGGTAATAGCTTTAGTCCCACAGACAAAAATATCTTCCATGGGCTTCTGCCTCCCAAATCTTGACCATATCACTGAGTTCCAGATTGGCATACCCAATGACCTACTCAGCATCTCTTTCTGGAAGTTTAAAGTTTAATATGATGGAGGAGAACCCTCAAGTTGCATCCTGTCTCCAAGCACCAACCTGTTTTCCTCAGTCTTCTCCATCAACCCCGGTGCTCAGGCAGACTGTAGGAGTATCTGAGTCAGCCCTCACAAACTGCATACTCCACAGCCTCTCAGGAAGTTCTGTTGCCTCTACCATTCTTGAAGTATACCTGAGCCTGACCACTTCTCCCCACCTGCCTGGATATCACCCTAGTCCTAACCACTCTCAGCCCTCGTAGCTATCGCAGCAAACTCCTGACTATGCCTCCAGCATTTACTCTTGTCCAGTTAAATCCATTCTCCACATGGCAAGCTGATTTGTTTAAATTTAAACCATATCCTATCACTCCTCTGCTTAAAACCCTTTAACTGCTTCCCATGACAGTTGTAATAAAAATCCAAAGGCTCACTGGATCTACAAGGTATACAAGGTCTGGTTCTCCTCCACATCTGCCCTCACCTCCTGCCACTCCCGCTCCACTCACGGCTCCAGCCCCACGGGTCCTCCTTCTCAAACACCATCATGCTTGTCTGGTTGGGGCCTGTGGCTATGCCGCTGCTTCTGCCTGCAGCGTCCTTCACCCAGATCTTCAGATGCCAGGTCCCCTCTGCAAGGTGGCCTTCTTGACACCCATGTCTAGAATCACTCTCTGTTCCATTTGCCCTGTTTTGCTTTCCTCAAAGTACTTATCACATATTGAGGTGATCTTTTTAATTAACCAGTTCATGAATTTATTTCTATCTTTGCCAAGGAAAACGTCAGCTCTAAGAGCATGGAGACCTTCTCTTGTTCACAAGGACCCCAACAGCTAGAATAGTCCCTGCACATGGTAGACCCTCAGCAAATATTTGTTGGATAAATGTGGAAAATGACACTACTAAGACCTCCCCTGTGGATTCAGTTTCAAGGACTACAGGAGGTGAGTGAACAACTACAACAGTAGCATAGGGCTCAGCCCAGAGTAGGGTGCTCAAGGGTGTTTTATCTTTAAAATTGGGAAGTGGTGGTGGGGTGGGGCCACAGGAAGCAAAGTACCGCCCAGTGCAATGTGGCTGAGGAGCTGCACTGAGGGGCTTAATCTATGCAGTTATAAACCAAATATATGTAAATGAAGTCAAGGCCTCCTACTCCTTAAAGGTGGAGGGGAACCTGCAGGAGACATGAAGGAAATCCCCATAGAAATGACCGCTTTAGTTGTTTGTTCTGATAGATGTGAAAGAGACCCTAAGAAACATAAGTTGCCCAGAATGCTCAGAGTAGTAATTTATTCACAAGCACTACTAAAAAGTAATGGAATAGTCCTGAAACTAAATTAAACTGCTTTTAGTAACTCTAGACTTTGACACCAAATAAATGAATTGACTTCTTAGAGGTGTTAAAAATCAGTCGGTGTGTCTGAGAGGTGAGCACAGGGGTTGGGGACACAGGTTCTGCCACCGAGCGACAGTGGGCATGCTCGTGCGGACACCCTGCGACACTCCAGACCTGCTGCAGATGCAACCAAACTGAGGCTCATGTGAGTAGAAGACCCAGCACACCCTGCACTTGGTGGCTGTTTCCTCTTAATGCCCTTCTCTGCCCTGCTTTTCTCATCCTTCTGCAAAATGAGGTGACTTCACAGTAAGATCTCAACTGATGCTTCTCGTTCAAAGCGTCTATGCTTTAAATATAGACATTCTGGTCCAGGAAAGCTCTATGCTTCTATCACAAGCACGTTTACAGTTTTTTTTTTTATTTTGGTTTGGCCCCAGGATAGATAATTCCCATATAGCCAGGTGTTTAATAATACAGGTTCTGAGTTCAGAATGTGCCACCACTGACACCTTTTACCGTGTATGACCTGGGGACAAGTTACTTAAGCTCTGAGTGCCTCAGTCTTTTTTTCTGTAAGTCAGGGCAATGATAGCCCTACCTTGCTTTGGACTGTGTATGTAGGAAATACTCAATAAATATTAGCCTTTCGTATGAGGCCTGTCATGCAAGGAAGACTATTAGCCCAGTACCAAACACGTGGTGCTGTGTTGCTCTAGGGTCCCTGCCATTCCAAATTCAAAAACGATCCTTTTGGCTTGCAGTCGAACTTGTGGACTTTCATGGTGTCTTTCAGGACAAACCAGCCTGACTCTGAAGACACTGGACCCCATGATGGTACATGTGCCCATCTGGCATAAGACACAACCATCTTGGGTCTTTATTTGATGAGCAGAGAGGATGAGCATCTCACCAGGCCATGGCGGTGAAGGTCACAGGAAACAGAAGCCACCAGTAATAGTCAAACTTCTTGGAGAACACGGCCATCAGCAGCCCAACCAGCATCCCATTGTACCCGTGGAGTCCAGAGGCGATAGCAGACCTGGGGTGAAACAGTTACTCTCCATTTGAATTTCATGGTCCCTCCCTCCAGGGACTCAGAGAAAAAAGTCAGTTTATTTGATGAATGTTGCACAATCACATAACTGCCAGCACCTTTCCAGACACACACACACACACACACACACACACACACACACCATGATCACCTTTGCTGATCTAGAATTAAATTATGCACTTTTGTCTTCTGTGTCTAAACTCTCCTTCTCAGGGGAGGGTCAGATTGCTACGTAATAGCTGGCAATCTAAAGGAAACCTGAGGTGTGACCCTGGAAAGGCATGTGTGTGTGTGTAAGAGAGAGGGGTGGCAGCGGGTGGAGGCCAGGAATACACGGGGCAGCTGCAGAGGGGGCGCTGGGAAGAAAAGGGGGTGGCAGGGAGGACCACTGCTGTTCAGAATCTCCTTGGGACTAGAGTAACTATCAAAGGAGCAGAAACCTGTGTTTTGGGAAAATCATTATTTTTAAATTGTGCTTGCATTTTTGCCGTATTTCCCCATTTGTGTTCAGGGTGAGACTTTAGTCCTTTTTTTGGTTTTAAACACCAGCTGCTGCAGGCAAACTGAGCAGAGATGGTTGGCCGCCACTGGTCTGCGCCTGCCTCAAAGCGAGTGTTTCCAGAAGGCTCTGCAGTCAAATGGAGCCTGGCACTGTCATTTGCTCTGAGCATAGGAGCAGCTTAAGTCTGTAAGGGTCTCTACTGACCTGTTCAAAGTTGATACTCAGGAGACCTTGGCCTCCTCTTGATAGGATAAGGCTGATGGGAAGTCACCTCTCCACCTGTCTGCCCCAAGACCCAAGACCAACAGAGAATGGGACCCACCTGTCCTGGCTCAAGGCGAGGGCGGTTAAGGTGGAGACCACTGCCCCCAGGCCCCCAGCAATCGTCCACCAGGGATTCTGGATCAGGAGCCCGATGAAGATGATGAACCCACTGAGGGGGTTGTTGACGAACATCACCTGAGCAGCCCCCCTCAGGACCCAGTCTGTGAACTGGAGGGCCAGTGGCTTATCTGAAAGAGACGGGCAGGGCCATCAGCAGGGCCCAGCTGGCACTTCCCTGCTGGACCACTGGTTGGCGTGGCAACCAAGACAGACAGGGAGGCATGAGCCAGGACATTTCCCCCCACTCAGCCTGGCACCCAGCCCATCTCTGAGTGGCCCGGCAATCAGTCTGCAGTGGGTGTTAGTTTTTGCCATGCGGACTGAGGCACCGTGCTGAGACCAACTTAACGCCGTTCCAGCCACTGGCTCACTGGCTCGGCTGGCAAGGAAGCCTCAGGGGCATTCCAAGGGAAATTTATTGATCCAAGAGAAGAGGTGGAGAAGGTAGGGAACTCTTTATTTGTAGTGCTCTGTGACTCCGCTGAGGGCTGGTATCTGAGCAGCAAAGAAAGTAGTCACGAGAAAGGAAGCTTGGGAAAGGAATGAGTACCGAGACAGGACCCGGAGGAAGCCAAGTCTGGAAGAGGGGACTCACATCCTGCCTCAGTCTCTGGTGTGGTTTCCAGGATAGCCTGTACAGGTCGGGGCAGGGGGTTAGGGGTGTTTGTTGGAGCATTTAGTTTAGGGAAATGAGGAGAAGGAAGGCACTACAAGGAAAGAACCCTGGGATGTGGGGGAGGGGGAGGCCAATACTACATGGCACATACTACATGGCACGGCAAAGTGAAAGAAAGACCAACCAGCTCATTTGGGAAATGGCTTATATGTAGCTAAGTGGTTGTCCTATAGCTATTCCATTATCCCATGAAGGAGGGAAGAATTTTCAAAGAGCTAAAATTCATGAAATGCATTTAATTCTGAAACCTTGGGAGTCCAAGTTAGTAGGGTATGTTATGCCTACCTGGACTCAACTCGGGGCTGCAGCAGCCCCAGCTGGGGGTGAGGTGGGGTGCAGCTTCCTCAGTCCAAGCCAGAGGGAGGGCCGTCTCGCTGGTCCGGCCCGGCTGCTTCGTCCCTGGGCAGACCTTGCTTACCTTTCAGCCAGCTCCTGCACTCCTTCATCTCGCCCGTGAGGTAGCCCACTGCTTCGAAGAGGCTGATGCCCCCATCCCCTGCGGAGCCCCGGGGCACAGCCCTGCTTTCTCTCCTTTTACTCCTTTCAGGGGGCTTTTCGATTTTCACGATGTGGCTCTCTTCGTTGGATGACCGGAGATCCTTTCAGGAGAAGCCATGACAAAATATCAGATAACAGAGCTATTGCGGGGGCATTTGGGGATAAAGAAAGTTGTCAGGTTTTGTCTTTTTTTGATATAAAGGATCATAAGACAAATATGCCCGGAGTACCCCGCACAGGCCTGCTGTCCCCAGGATAGACGACACATTCTTCATGGCAGGGTTTCCTAACCCTTTGTGCTAGGGATCACTTTCGGGATCTTGGCAAACCTGTGACTTCTTTACAGACTGTAGTGTTTGTAAATAAATAAAGTAAGTGGATTACAAAGAATACCAATTACACTGAAGTGCAGTTATAATATTAAAAAAACTGCGATGCACATAGAGGCGTGACAAATCCAGCGCCCACTATAATTTCGCAGTAGTGATGAGTGAGTATCTGGGGCCTGTTCACTCCAGCTCGGGACCACTGTGTAGAGCCATCGCAGCTCTGGAGCTTACCGCCAGGGCAGCTGAGGCCTTTGTTGCAACTGCATCGCAGCCCAACTCCTTCCGTCTAACCCCGCTGCCTTATTTCTCTACAAGTATTGACCCTGATGGCATACCCCTATAAACTTCTCTTAAAAAAAAAGGTTTTATTTATTTATTTTTAGAGAATGGGGAAGGGAGGGAGAAGGAGAGGGAGAGAAACACTGATGTGTGAGAAAAACATCAGTTGATTGCTTCTCACACACACCCCAACCAGGGACCAGGCCCCCAACCCAGGCATGTGCCCTGACCAGGAATAGAACCAGTGACCTTCCACTTTGCAGGATGATGATCAACTAGCCAAGCCACGCTGGTGAGGACCCCTGTAAACTTCTTATATACAGATCTCCAAGTCAGCTTCCTAGGGGAACCCAATCTGACAACGACAAAAATCTCAGATGTTCTGATATGGCTGTTGTTCATTTCTTATATTCACAATTGAAATAAATGCTAAAGTTTGTTGGAGGTTAATGAAAATAAAGATAAATTACTTTCCCCACTTAAGTTCGTACATCCTCAATTCTGCTCAAGGACACCTTGGTCAGGATTCCTTATTCTAAAGCTAATCTGTCCAATATAGTAGCCAATAGGTCATGTGGCTTTTGAGCCCTTGAAATATGGCTAGTTTTAACTGAGATGTGCTTTAAGTGAATTTAAAAGACAGTATAAAAAATAATAGCAAATTGTCTCAATGCTACTTTATATTGATTATATTGAATAGATAGACATACTAATATTATATATTCATATATTAGGATAAACAAAATTTATTAAAATTAATTTCATCTCCTTTTTACTTTTTAAAAATGTGGTTAATAGAAATTTAAACTTACATATGTGGCTCACATTATATTTCAATTGTACACTGATGGTCTGTAGATTTCTCCAACCTCTTGCCTACAGCAAAACTTTAATGCCTTGAGGATATCAATGAAAATACCCTCCAAAAATTCTCTCCTCTGTAACGGCTGAGAACACTGGAAAAAATTGTGCCTGAGGTGCTGGATAACAGCTGAGGAAAGCAAGCAATGAGCTAGTCAAAAAGCTTAAGAGGATAAGCTGGAGAATGGGATGTCCAAAGAGGGTTTTAAAAAGCTTGGATATGTTTCTGTGACTCTAGGAGGGCAAGTGCATGTGCAGGGCTGGCCCATGGCCAGGGCCGCGTGCGTGCTCAGTGGGGAACTGAGGAGTCCCTGAGCTCGCACCTGGCTGAGCCTGAGTCTCAGTGAAGCAGAAAGTGAAGGCTAAGGCAGACTTGAAAACTTCCTGGATGAGTGTTGAAGATATGCCCCAGCATGCACACAGATCCCTGAGAAAATGTTTGTCCAATCATTAGCCGACCAGTAGGCTAACTGAGGAGGGAGATCAGCAGCTAGAAATGAGAAAAAATACAGGCTTTTCAGAACTAGTTCAGAGAAGCCATTAGTCAAACAAGCCAGCAATGGACTTGTCTTTAAAATGTCTGATTCTTCTCCCTGTACCAATCTGGTGTTGAGTTCCTCTGGCACATTTTTTTATTTCTGTTACACTATTCAACTTCAGAATTTCTACTTCTTTTTTAATAATTTCCTCTTTATTGAGATTCTGTATTTGGTGAGCTGTTGTGGTCATACTTCTCATACTTTCCTTTAGCTCTTTAGACATGTTTTGTTGTTATTTCTTGATTCTACTTAAGGTGATTTGAAATCTTTTTCTAGTAAATGCAATGTCTGAGCTTCCTCAAGGGCAGTTCTATCAACTGCTTTATTTCCCCTGGTTCATAATTTCTTGTTTCTTGACATGTCTCCTAATGGTTCATTGAAAACTGGGAGTTTTAGATAAGATACTGTGGCAACTCTGGGAGTCAGGCTCTCCCCTGTCCCCAGGCCTTGTTGTTGCAGTATCCCTCTCCACTGCATCAGTAGCTGCAGCCAGGCTGCCTCTGCGTGACTGTGTTCAAGGAGTGCTAAAGGCTGGTGTTTGGATGAAGGCCTTCTTTTCAGAGACAGTACGTAATTCAAGCAGGCAGGTCTAAGGGCAAGATTTTGGAGAGTGGTCAGAAAACTGGGGTGTGAAGGTGTGCATTTTTTTTTAAAGATTTTACTTATTTATTTTTAGAGAGGGAAGGGAGGGAGAAAGAGAGAGAGAGAAACATCAATGTGTGGTTGCTGGGGGCCATGGCCTGCAACCCAGGCATGTGCCCTGACTGGGAATCAAACCTGTGATGCTTTGGTTCGCAGCCCGTGCTCAATCCACTGAGCTACACCATCCAGAGCTTGTGCATTTCTTACTTGTCCTTAAAACTACATCGCATGCAAGCCACGTTTTTATTTTAGGTCAGGTAAGACCCATCGTGGGTGGGACCGTGCATTGATTTGGGGCAGAAACTTTCCCAACAGAGGCCCCTCTGTGGCGTTACGTAACACACACCCTGGGTAGGTGGGAAAGCAGCATCTTTCACTACTCTTCGCCCCCAGCACCCCCATCTCACCTGGGAAACATCTTGGGAGGGATACTCCTCACCTTTTCTTCAGGCATTTCCAGGAGGGGCAGGGCTGGGTGTGTATCCTGGGGGCTAGAGGGCCAGGTAGGGCTGGTCAACCCTGACTCGTAGAGTTTGTATCTGCTGGAAAGAGGCTCTGGCAGAAGAGGACTGCTGTGAGAGTCAGACATCTCCTTCAGGGGCTGGCCACTCATTGGTCATGCAACTGGTGAAAAAAAGGGTAGAGCGAGTGAGTCAGAACTGGGTCCACCTGGGCTTGGCTCAGGCTGGATGGAGGCCTTAGGAAGCATACGGTCTGTCTCCACACACAGGGGACCTACTATTCCAGTAGCTTGTGCTGCCAGAGGGGCCTGCAGTCACTCCCCCACCCATGTGACCTTTACCTTTCAAGTTACCCTCATTCTTCCAAGTCCAGAATAAAGTCCATTTCCATTGTGAAGATTTCCTTGACTACCCAGTTAGGATACCTCTCCTTTTTTTCTGAAATATTTTCTAAAATATTCTATTCTATTCTAATTATATTCTAAAATATTTTCCCTCTACTTTGTATATGGGTTATTGTGCTTTCTTATTATGGTAGCTAGCTGTACATATATTTTGCCTTGATACATACACATAGATCGGGCTCTTCCAATTGAGTGGGGATCGAAGAGGAACTTGTTTTCTTAATTGCCATGGGCCCTATATTGCTTACAATTGACCTCCAGTCTCCTTTCTCTCTCTGTCCTCAGTGCTCTTTCCAGCCCCTTCACCCCTTTCTTTCCCTAGAAACAGTGAGAAGCTCTGGTATAACCTATCTGATGAAGTGTGCACCAGGCTGGGCATCCTTCCCACTTTGTGGGAGTCCTAGGGCCAGGGCTTATGCTGTGAAATGCTTTGGAACAACATCTACCCAAGGTCCTCAGTTTCCCAATCTATTCTGGTGTCACAGGTAGTACTGTGCTTTCCCCTTTCCCATTCAGTAATCTTAACTGCTCTTCTTTGGCCTCTTCTAGTTCAGTTATGTTTTCATCTACTTTATTGTTTCTTTGAGACGTGGTTTTGAACCTGAACATAGCCTCCTCAATATGAGCTAGATTTCCCCATTGCTCGATGCTTCCTCCCCTGAGTTGCAGGACAGTGTATCTTAGGACAGTGATTGCAGATCTCTGGCCTGGGGGTTAGCATTCCTGACACTTACCATGACAGACATTGCTAAAAGATTGCAGAGTTCTTTTCCAAAGGGGATGAAGTCCCCCTTTGTATACCTGCATTGGTACCATTTCCCTGGGCTGTTTCCTCTTCTATGCTCAACGAGAGTAATTCTTGTTCTTCTCTGTTACTTTTGGACCACTATATACCTTGCTTGTACAGAAACCTCTCTTATTTGAGGCTTATACCACCTGTCTAACTGCTCACTGCTGTATTACTGACTTTCTGCTCATTCTTCTCATTCTCTGAAGACTTTAGGGGGTCCTAATAGTAATCTTCATCTTCACTCCAATAATTTTCAACAACTTCAACGTCCAGGCATTGACACTAGCCTCACCGACACAGAGTCATCATTTACTCTGACTTTGCAGATCCTTCTCTTCCTCATCTCCAGTGACTTGTTCTTCCCCTTCCTTTCAGCCGCTGATTGCCATAATCACCACATGGACTTGATATCATATGAACTATGAAATCTCAAAAGCCAGAGTCTCTCCTCTGGTCACCACCTCCTGGACTTCCAGCTCAGCTGCTCAGGTGTGCCCTCGAATACAGTTTTTTTCACCTCCTGGAGACACTCAACCCCTTACCTCCACCAGCCTCTATCTCCCCTTTTCTCTTTATCCAACCTAATTTCATGGCCCATTATTTTCCTTCCTTCAGCTCCCTTGTTCTTCCTCCTCTCCCTGCCTTATAATTGTGGGGTGAAGTCCCAGGCAGGTTAACCCAACTCTTGTCAAACAACTGAACATTGCTAGAGGAAAATCTGCATATCTGGGCAGGCTACTTCCGCTTTAAATTTAGGCGTTCCATCCTCAAATGAACTCTTAGCATGTTTTGTTTTTCTCGTTAGCCACCCCAGGCTGGTTTCTGCTGCTGCTGTCCTTGCTCTGAGACGTCCACGTTGGCAAATCCAAGCATGCTTCTGTCCTCATCCCGCTAGACCCCTCAGTGGTATTTTATGGGACTTGGCCATCCCTCCAGACACCCTGTCCTCTCTTTAGCTTTCATACTCGATCCTCTGTCTGGCTGATCCTTCACCCTCTCCTTGGCTGCCTCCTCCTGTCAATATGAGCATCTGCAGAGCTTTGTTCTGGGCCTCAGCTCTTTAGTGACGCTCCTACCCAGTTAACGCAGCTCTCGCCATGGTTTGACCTTCCCTCTGCATGCCCATGACTCCAAAGGCTACTATTTCCAGCCCAGTTTTGAGCATTGGATTCATAGACTTAATTGTCTAGTTTACGTGTGCCTGTGGATGTTCCAGAAGTAGCATAAAGTTAATATAGTGCAACAACTCATAATGTTTTCTTCCCAAGTCCTGTCCTCTTCCCCCAAAGGTGCTCATCCTAGAATGAGTCCATTTCCGCTTCCAAACTGCTCCTTCAGAAATATCAGGAGTCAAATTTAATATTCCCTTCTCCTCCACTTTCCAAAACCAGTAATTCTATTTCTAGAATACACCTTCGTGTCCAATATTACTATTTGGCTGCCATTATCCCCTGCCACTTCTCCAGTGCCTCCCAATCAAACACCCTACTTCTCAGATTTCTCCTCCAAGCCATGCTCCGCAGGACGATCAAAGTTGTCATATTAATACTCAAATCTACTTATGTCAGTTCTTTGCCTAAATCTTTCCAATGGCTACAGATGGAAAACCAGGCCTTCAACACGGTGTGCAAGGCTGTGCATCACCCAGTTCCTGCTATGTTTTAGGCCATCCTGTGCTTCTCTTGCCCTTTGTCTCTGGGCTCCACACTGGCCTCCTTTTGGTGCCTGGAGGATATTAAGCACCTACTTTTCCACCTGAGGGCTCCTGCAAATGGCGGTCTATCTGGTTGAAGTTCTCCCCTTTGCTCTTTACCTGGGTAACTCCTACTCATCTTTCAGGCTTTGTCTCAGCACTCACTCTTGGAGAAGCCTTCTCAGAAGCACCCCTGACTGTGTTCTCCTGTCTCATGCTGTCAGGGCCCCTGTATTTTTTCTTATAGCATTTTTTGTATCATTCAATACTAGATTTTATTTTATAGTATCTATAGCACCATTCAATGATTGATTTCATTCATATAGTATCTATTTTATTCATACAGTATCTATAGTATTTATTTGTACAGTATCACTGGCACTTAAAGATGCTTGACGACAGTGACCTTCTCTGTTGTGTTTACTGCTGTAACCCCAGCTCCTACCACAGTGCCTGGCACATAGTAGGTATTGGAATGGTAAATAGCTAAATGAGGGAAGGGAGGAGGGAGGGAAGGACAGGAAGCTACAGGTGACTACTAGGGTGGGAATGTTTCCTTAGAGAGCTTTAGAAATCATGTGGGTCTCATGGGACTTGAACGGCTTAAGGAGGGTGTGGGGCCACCCACCAGCCCTGCATTTCCGAGCCAGTGCTCTGCCGTGTCTAGTGCCTGTCCTCGTGTCTAGGAGGAGCTCATTAAACAATAGCTGATTTTTAGGGTAGATCTGCAAATATCATTCAGATCCAACCAACTGCTCTTTCTGATGCTGCCATTGCTCTGGAAGGGGGTCTGTTTCCCTATTCTGACCCTGCAGGTGAGTGTCAGTGCGTTCAGACCACTCTGGAGGGAGCAAGTGGCCAAGGTTTAGGAGAGCAAAAGCTAACGAGGCTGACAAGCTGTCCTCGTCCGATGCTGTCTCTCCCTCTGGTGGCCAGGAGGTGGCAAAGCATCCTGGCCTTTTGGTACAAGATTCCTTCCAAGCCATCCAGATAAAAAGCGAGGAGCAATTAGATATCTAGACACACGACCTCCGTGACACCATACATCTGGATGAAGGAGACATATTTTGGAAGGAGCTTGTATTAAATTCAGTGGCTGTGAAATCCATTAAAAATTCAGCTGAAAAACAACATTTTTTTTCCCTAATGTATTTCAGTGAATCTAAGATGTTATCAACTGTATGATGTATCTTTATTTTGCGTATCACTGGGAAAGGAGAAAGCACTGCCAATAAAAGTTGTAGGATGCATCTTGATTTCAGAAATGTTAAAATATAAAAGCAATGTGTATCATCTAATCAAGGGTTTTTCTTGCGGGGAGGGGGGTGACGGGGCTCAAGTGTGCAGGCTGGAGCTGAAAATGGGTAGCTTAAAAAATTATTTCCTAACCATGAGGCTACAAACATTTGTACATTTCTTTTGATAGAAAATGTGTATACACATTATGAACCCTTTAAGTAGAGGGCCTGTTACCTTATCGATTGCTGTGGCAGGAGAAAGCCTGACACATAATAAGCCTTTGATATAAGTTCGATGAATCACAGAAGAATGAAGGACTGCACAGGGACGTACGCTCCAGAGTCAGCTCCAAAAATGCACTTTCTTTCCCACCCTCGAGTCCCTCCTTTCTGCAAACAAGATTCCCAGTTACAGATGGAGAAATCAAGGTGCAGGGAAACAAAGCAGGTGTTGTTTCTCACATGGATGTCAGCCTTCCTGCTTTCTGAAGCAAGCTTTCCACCTTGTGATGGACACAGGAAGCAGAGACCCAGCAAACCCGGCAGCTTACTGCAGAGTCAAGATCAGAGCTACTTCCCCTCCCTGGGCTCCTTCTGTTGCTTCAACAGCCTCATGGGGTACAGCTGGGGGGGCGTGCAGGGGAGGGGTGGCTGCCCCGAGACTGGGTCCAGGCTCTCAGCCCAGCGTTCTATTTCATAAGCTTGCGTGGCCTCGGCAGGAACAACGTGATTGCATCTCCTCTGGGGAACACAGCGTTCCTTTGCCATGGGAATGTTTATCCTGTTCAAACGGGGGAATTTTGGCTTTGGGGTAGGAGTGAGACGTGCAGCAGAAATGACCTTGTAAAAAAAGGTCGCCGTGTCTGGAAAAAGCACAGGCTGCAGCTCTGATGCCCAGCTTCACCATTTTTTCCGCCACCAGGGAATGCAGGGGCCTTCTCTCCCCTTTCACAGGACAGTGTAGGACGGTTAGGAGAGTAAAACTGCTGAGTTGGTTCCTGGCACGTAGGAACGCGGCGCTCAGTGATTTTTAGTTTC